ATACACAGCATGGTGACTACAGTTAACAATATTTCACTGTATATTTGAAAGCTACAAAAGTAGTTCTTAAAAGTTTTTATCACAAGAAAAAAAACTATGTATTACATACTCCATACACATATCTATGTATGGAGATAGATATTAACTAAACTTATTTTGGCATTTACTTCACAATATGTACATATATCAAATCGTTATAAACAAATACAATATTGCATTTCAAGCATATCTCAATAAAAAGTAAGGACAAAAATGTTACTGCATATAAGCGGTATATAACAGTCTCAATGAATAGGAAAAAACTTAATGCTCTCAGTGTTGACTGACACAAGATAATTAAAGACTAAATTAAAGGTTAGATATCTTTCAACAGATAACTGACTAAAAAAAAGTAGTAATTTTCAGCACAAGAGAAATAGGTTAACTTTTAGGGTTATGTAGTTTTTAAAGAACTGGGCCTCTTTTGAAATGTGTACTCCATAGGACTAAAACTAATTTAGGAAGGAATTCATCCACCAGAGGGGGCCCTTACAAAACAGGAGAAATAAAATGTTAACAGCAACCAATAGTATACAAATTGAAGGTTAGAATACATCTTACAAAGTAAAATCCTTTAAGTCTATAAATTCCATATACTCGCATGTAAAATTTTGACTGTTATTTTTCTGAAAAACACAAAAAATTTAATCATTGCATTGTGTTACAAGACTCATTTGTTCATGTGTCCATAAGCTGAATATACTGAGGTCTGTTAAGAAAATATCCAGCAATGTAGTATGAAAAATAGACACATTTAGTGAAGAAGATACAAGAAACACTGTACATAAACTAATGACGCCTCGGTCCCCTTCAAAGTAAGCACTTTGGGACCTACTTTGGGTTCACTTGTAGCACCTGCAGCTGCAATGTTCCTTCTGCTCTGGCACCAGAAGCCACAGAACTGATTTTGCTATGACACATTTCATGCCAAGATCCTGCAGCCAAATCTCAGACACAGTAGTTTTTGCAATCCCCAGATCAGCTTCAAGTTCTCGCACTGTCAGTTACCAATCTTTGATTGCAGCCTGTACACATTCAGCATTCTCAGGTGTTCTGCTTCTTGCAGACTTTCCAAAACATGGATCATTTTCAACAGATTCTTGACCATTTTTAAAGCATTTGTGCTACACTGTCATTTGCACCACAAATTCATTACACCATTCCTGAAAGCCTTCTGAATCTCATCCGAATAGCTTCTGTGGAGGAATGTTCATGCTTAATGCAAAAATTGATGCAGATTCATTGCTCTGCTCGCTCAGTCATTTTTGATGTGACAGCCACACAGTACACATGCTCACTCAAGAGGATCTACTACCCCCACTGACTAGTACACTGAAGTCATCATTGTTCACTCATGCACATTCCAGTCTGCTCTCTTTGGCTGCAAGGTTATATCAATGTTGTGCAAACCATTGTTGCAATTTTAACAATGGCTGGACTTTTCCCGGACAGACCTATACGAAAGAGCTATAACTAGTCACCCACAATAAGTCAATTAGAGAAGTAATAATTCCACAACCCCCCCTTTTTTGTTAGTTCTAGGACCACTTTTTATGAAAGTAAGTGTCGACAGACACACTGAAACAGTCACCTAATCCTGGGTCTAGTGATTCTAGGAAAGCCCACGCCACCACCATTCTTGGACTTTCTCTCACCATTTAGCTACAGAAATTTTCTACATGTATCAGTATATCTTGAGGCCAATATATTTAAATTTATAAAAAACAATATAGCCCTAGCTGGCGTAGCTCAGTGGATTGAGCGCAGGCCTGCGAACCAAGGGATCACGGTTCGGTTCCTGGTCAGGGCACATGCCTGGGTTGTGGGCCAGTTCCCAGAGGGGGACACATGAGAGGCACCCATGCATTGATGTTTCTCTCCCTCTCTCCTTCTCTTCCCCTCTAAAGGTAAATAAAATCTTTAAAAAAAAAGAAACAATATGCATTATTATCTACCTATTAATCAAGACTTTATTAATTTTTGAAAGTAACATTTATTAAGTACTCAATAAATATAACTATCTCATGTAAACATCACAACCCATTGAGGTAGGTATTATTATTACCCCCACTTTACGGATGAAGGCATTAGGGCTTGAAGGTCTCAATGCTAGTAAAGAGTGGACTACAAACTACAAGGCTAAGTATTGTGTTGTGTCACAAATAAAAAAATTGAAATTTTTACTGAATTGTAGATTCACATAGAGTTGTTTAAAAAAATACATGGAGATCCCTTGTATATTTGCCTGGTTTCCTGTAACATTTCATAAGACTACAATATAATGTTGCAAACAAGATACTGACAGTCTACCAATTTTGTTCAGATTTCCATCTAAGGCATTTTTAACCAGGCAATACACCTTTCCTTTTTTTTTATGAACACTTCTAAATGCTCTATATAAAATTCAATTTGTTCCCCAATTGTTTTACTTCTCTTAACTGGTCTTCATTTATAATTTAATCTCTTTTGAAGGAATTTTAGGGTTTCTCACTATTTTGTGGTTATATATCTCAACATCCTATTCTCTCTCTATATGTAAACGTTACTCAGTTCTATTCTAATTGCTCCAAATCATCAGCCTTGGAGTCAAGAACCCCAGCTCTGCCATGTACTAGTTTAGGCAAATCATTTAACCTCTCAACATTTCCCTCATCTGAAAAATAGAAATAACAGTACCTACCTTCAAAGAGTTGTTGAAGATCAAAGTTTGCCTGCAAAGTTTTCTTAGCACAGTATATGGCACATAGTTAAGTGCTCACTAAACTTTAATCATAATTTACTATTCCCTCACCAAGACTTTTCAAAGAGCAAATCCATCCACTCCAACCCCCTTAAATTGCTAACCTTACTATTATATGCCCATTTGTTCATACGTTCAACAAAAATGTACTGTTTACACATAAACAGATGACTCAAATATAAAACTTTTCTTCACAAGTACACAATTATTAAAATTTAAGGTAGATAGCAACAATGCCAAAAAAACGTACTTTTAAAGTTCTCTGGCACTTTTGATGGTGGAAATAACACCTAACCTGACTCTTTTAACGAATGTATCCATTAGACAAATAAATGGAAAGAGATAGGGTAGGAAAGGTGTGGCATATAACATTTTCTGGAGTAAGGACATGAGGGCAACTAAGGTACCAAGAGACAAGGAGGGGCTTGTATAGGAAACAATAAACAATACAGGCTGGCTGCAGTGAAGGGTATTTGTGAAAGGAACGGTGGAAAATAAAACTAAAGACTAGTCAAGGCCTGATCCTGAAAGGCTTTGAATCCAAGTCCAGAGTTTAAATTTCATTCTGTCCACAACGAAGAGTCAAAGATTTATGAGTAGTACAATTATGAGTTCATGTTATAGCACATTCATGTATTGTCAAAACATGAATGTGCTATAACATGCAAAACAGTCTGCTATGCTGGTACTCAGAAACTGGCTGCTGCAATTAATCAGGCTGGTAGAGACAGCATGGAAAGGTCTGAAGGGAACAACTACTCACATAATTGAATCACTGTGATTTGAAACTTAATAAGTAGGAAGAAGAAAGCCAAGATGATTTAGTTTGAAGTTCTAGTTCTGTGAACTGCACTGAAAAAAAAAAAAAAATGGTTCCCAGACTTCTCCACAAATCACTTATCTGTTTTCCTGAATTCTAAACCATACTTTAACTTCTTTACTGGTCTGAATTGTTTTTACCTGTGAAACAAGTTATCTTGCAAGAACATGGTAGAGTAACTAATGAATAGAAGTCTGCAATACTGTAAGTATGATGAGCAGGGGAAGGAAATGAGTTACTTACTACATCTGACATATCATAACATGCTTATTAAAATAAGATTCGGAATACCAATAAACATTTGTTCATAAAATAGGAACGGGGATTTCTGTATGCATTTGTTCACTGGTGTATCCCCAGTGTCTAAAAACAGTGTCAGGAATACTGTTAATTCTCAATTAATATATTTGTTGAATACCTTTTCATGACGATGGTGCCCAAAGCCAAGAAGCCCTTGGCCTCCAAAGCTGAAGCCAAGGCAAAAAAAAAAAAAAGCAGTGCTAAAGGCATCCACAGTCTCAAAAAGAGGATCTGCACGTCACCCACCTTTGGGAGGCCTAAGACACTGTGGCTCCAAAGGCACCATAAATATCCTCAGAAGAACACCCCCAGGAAAAATAAGCCTGACCACTATACTATCATCAAGCCCCCTAAATACCCAATCAGCCATGAAAAATACAGAATGCCACAATACAGGTGTGTTCACTGTGGATGTCAAGGCCCACCAGCACCAGGTCAAACAGGCTGTGAAGAAGCTCTGTGACACTGATATGGTCAAGGCCACCTGAGCAGGCCTGATGGGGAGAAGAAGGCCTGTGTTCGACTGGCTCCAGACTATGGTTCTCTGGATGTTGCCAACAAAAGTGGGATCATCTACACTGAGTCCAGCTGGCTAGTTTTAAATATAAAATTTTTACACTATAAATATATACATATTTCTGTTGAATACTATGTGAATGAGAAACAAAAAAGTATTAATTTTTTTGAGTAGTGGTTAGTTTATTCTATGTTTTTTAAAAATTACTTTATTGTTGTTCAAAGGTATTACATTTTAAGAAACACTCTTCATTGGCCTCAATGCTCTGAGCACTCAATATTCTCTCCTACTCTTTTTCTCATTAAAATGGCCTCCTGTTGCTAACTTACCTTCAAAAATATAAACTGCAATATATTCATTTAGTCAAGGTTATAACCATTTTAAGTAACACTAAATTATTAACCACTAAAGGTTAAAAAAATCTTAAATATCATCAGACACAAAATAAATGATACCTGAGATTTTAAACAAATTTTGGGGTATCTCCTAAGTTCCATTTTGCAGTTTTGGAATTCAAAGGCAAACACATTTAGTTGCTGGATGGGAAATGTGAATACATTTTCTTGCAGAGTTTATCATCTTACCAGGTCTTTCCTTTCCAGTGCCTTTTGACTCAGCAAATTTTTGTATCAAGCTTTCAACTGTAGTGTTAGCCATGTTATTTATAAATTCTTCGTGGACCTATTAATATGAGATAAAGTTTTTTTTCCATAAGTACTGTATATAAGACAAAATTTCCACAAAGCAATTAAAATTCCTTACACCAAAATATTTTTTGACCCAGAGCCTTTGAGAATTTTCATGTATTTAACATGCTCCATTACTTAACTTATAGTGTTAGTAGATCTGCGAGAACCAACCACTATTTATGTGAACTCCTTAAGATATGATTGCACAACCTTAAAAGTAAATGCAGTTTCATGTTCTCTTCCTGGAATGTTTTAGAACATAATTCTTCTTCTTTTTATTTTTGGTCACTATGAATACTTCTTGCTAGCCCCTTCTTAGAACATAACTCTTATGATAAATAAAAATTACACAGGCAATTAAAACTTTTAGATATTTAATAAAAAAAATAACAGACTTCATCTTTCTCTACTATATTTCAATGAATCACAAACTGTGATTATAAACACTTATATTTTTGGAAAACATCTAAGTAGAAGTTCTGTAACTTACTGAAGATGCTGTTCTAATTTTTAAAACAGTAAAACTTCAAAAATTAAATATTTAAAAATTGGTAACTTCATAATTTTAATGTAATGAGGACTAAACAGTTAATTTAAAAAATTAATTTGAATTATCATTCTTGATAAATTCAGTCAAAAATTCAGTTTATTTTATACTTAATATATGTAAATATGTATTTTTTTACCTGAAAATTCAGTAGCATGTTATGAGTTTTGGGTTCTTAAAGAATCATAAATGAACATAAAATTTTGAAGAATCAGTTCAACAGAAATAAAAACTTACCTGGCCTATTTGCAAATGAATTTCCTTTATAGCATTTGACAAAGATCCTATAATTTCCTTTATGTGAATGAGATGAGTTTCTTCAATGTCTTGAAATTTCTGAGTAGCAAATATAAAGTTACATATATAAAATATATATCTGCACATATATACATATGCTGAAATCAAAAGACCTTTTAGAAGTTATCTCAATACAGCTGACCAAATTTAGCCTGCTACTCATTATTACATGATTTTAGCAATGCTTCTAGACAAACGAGTTTAGTAAACACTGAAATACAGCATGGAGAAAAGTTAACTTTTTGTCATGCCATTTCTCAGGCAAACATCAACTTTTTCAGAGTTTGAAGATAATGCAAATTAAAACCTATAATCATGGTCAGAAAATAAAGAGACTCAGAAGGTAAGAGTGTCATAAAAGCCAAGGTAGAAGTGTTTCAAAAACTGAAAATCAATTAGTCACCAGACTAATTGCAGCAAAAACTGCAGTTTACTTCCGAAGACTTTAAAATCTAGCCCACAGACTCTGAAAATGTTTTTCTAATCCTTGAAATGTTAATATGTAGTTTTCAAAAGAGATACTCTGTGGTCAAATAAATTCGGGAAGCCTGTAACTCACTGAGCAGTTTTCATCTGAAGGTGGGCATGCATAAAGATCACCTGGGGGATGTTTTTAAACTACAAACATATCTTCCACTACAACCTGGGGGGTGGGAGTGGAAAGAGGCCAGAAAGTTGGAAGAAATACCCAGGTTATGCTGGTATTTATTACCCAGTAAGGAAACCACTGCTAGACTTGGCCTCACGATAAATGTTAAAAATTCTGAAAATTACTAAAATAACAGAACTTGTCTCACTGTGCTTAACCCAGTGTTTTCCAAAAATCTCTGACCAAACAACCCTTTTTGTTTTTCTTTGTCTATGAATATCTACTAATATCTCACAGAACAATATTCCTCAAAACAGGATTTGGGAAATGCTGAACTAGCCATTTTCTTTCTTTCTTTCTTTCTTTTCTTTCAGATTTTACTTATTTGTTTTTAGACAGAGGGGAAGGGAGAGAGGGACAGAAACATCACTGTGTAGTTGCCTCTCGTGCACTCCCCACTGGGGAACAGGCCCACAACCCAGGCATGTCCCCTGATTGGGGATTGAACCAGTGACCTTTTGGTTCATAGGCCAGTGCTCAACCCACTGAGCCACAGACCCACGGCAGTCATTTTCAAACAAAATACATCTGTCATTTCTATTGCACAAGCCCGATTACCTTCCCCATCCCCCAAATTAAATCAGTTCTAAGGAGTAAGGCCTAAATGTCTTGTTATTTTTCTCTGGTTAGTTTATCAAATTAAACTCCCTCAGCCCGTATTTAATGTCCAGTTTTCTTCAGCACTGAGTTCCATAATCAGAAAATCACTAAGCCAAATGACCATGTCCATACTTGTGTTAAGACCTGAACTTAAAAAAAAATGGTGCAATTACAGTTTTGGCAGTAATGCTACAATAACCCAAACTTTCTTTAATCAACTTTATTCATGAGGAATAGCAGAGTTAAAATAGAGTTCTGTCTTGACGAATTTTGACCAAGTTTGTGAGACTACCAAACAATGCAAGATCCTGAATTAGTCTTAAGAACTCAGGAATATTCAACAGAAGTACGATTCTGTTTTATGTTCATATTATAAGAAGTCACCCTCAACTTAAATTTATGTAACTTAATGAACAAATATTGCCTTGCAGACAGGTAGACCTAAATCTAGGAATGCTTGGTCAAAATGCCACTAATAGCATATGGATGACTCCTAATTCCAAGAAAACCGTGCTGGCCTTCCCATTCTCTTTTGAAACAGCCACAGTGAATAAGGCAGATTTCTAATTATTTAGGAAAATCTTGAGTATGAAGCCACACACAAACTCAACACATGATTCGGATGCAATTCTAAAATTGTGCTGAGTTGCTTTTGGTGAGGAGACACTGCTAAATATATCACAGTTCCTCAAAGTTAATAAAGCAATTCTGCAATGGGAATATACTCTTAAATGTCTGAATATATATAAAAGAACTTTCCTGAACAAGTGAGATAGATTTTTCCTCCTTGCCATTTCAAATTCACTGTTTGTACACACAGTTCACATAAGTATATAAAAAGTACAATTCTTTATGCCATCAAAGATACATATAAAAGCACTCTAGTCCTAAATCCTTGCTTAAACAAATCTCAGTCTCCTAGCCATCAAACTATTTAAAGTAAACAAAATCTCCATACTGTCTGAAGTTTTTCAAGTGTCTTTAACTGATAGTGATAAAAAGCATAAACACAAAGACAAGTCACAATTTTGATCATGCTTATTGTTAACCACAAATGAAAAAAATAAATCACAAATACTACAAGTACTTTCTAACCCCCTTTCACCCCAGGGACTCAATCTCCTTCCCCACTAGCAAATATAGGTCCTGCCACCCAAATTTGATTCTCATTAGACTGACAGGTCCCTTCCCACTGGGGTTAGGTCAATCTGCTTAGCTTGAAACAAAAGGAAAGTGGAGATGTACAATAATCCTTTTCATTTCTAAACAATGTAAGTTAAAGACTGCTGTCTATTAACAAACAATAGTAAATCTGTTCTGCGAGGGTGTGTGTGGGGGAAGGAGATGGGGACTGAGCTAGAGAACCAAACACATTAGCACAGACACCATCATCTTTATTTAAAAGCAATATGGTTAATTATACATCTCATCAAATAAATTAATGTTCCCATCTTGGATATGGCAGGATAAACAAAACACCAATTTAGAAACCAAGTGTAATGAGGAAGCAGAAGAGAAAGAGGAGGAAAAAATGCTTAAAATTTTTGAATAATACTTTCATAAATATAAACAAAAACCCCAAGTCTAGCAAATTCTAATTCCTGTTTCTCCAAAATAAATGGAAAGAAAAATATTTTCATTAATAGAAACTAGTCATTTTTTTGATGCAAAATTAACAAGTCAACAATTGCCTTATAAATGAGTGTTCTAATGATTTAAAAAATAAAAGGGCACTTGCTGAAGTCTACAATGATCTTTTTATCTCACTACAGTTGGAGCCTCAATTTAACACAACTAAGTATAAACCCTTCTTGAAATATTATCATTTCCCAGCTGCCATATGTCATTACATTTCCCAGTTTTCTTCTTTCTCTGGCTTCTCCTACTTGGGTTTCAGCATCTCTTCTTCTACCAACCCATCAGTGGTGAATCTCTCAGATTCTTGTGGCTCTTTCTTCCTCACACTCTGTCCAAAGGTGATGTCATTCTGGCGGCTTTGTATGCTGGCAAGCCCCTAGTTTATACTGACCCACAATATTTTATTCAAAACTTTGGGACCAAGTGTTATGGAATTCAATATTTTGGATTTTTAAATGAAGACAATATAGTGTTATTACCATATATTTCATAATACTACCAGCAGGATCTGCCCTGGTATCTATTTATCCAAAACAATATTTCTAAAGGAAAACATGTATTTAGTCTAAGTAATATAAATAAAGACTATAAATAGTCTCACATCAGTTTAAGTCAAGTGTTGCTGCAAAATGAGTTATAGAAAAAAGCTTTTGGTTTTTGGAGTTTCTGGAATCCAGAACTGTGGGTAAGGGACTGTGAACATTATGTCAGTCCAGCCTACTTAGATCCTACAAAACTTCCCACTTGTCTCCACTTTGGTACAGGCTATTCAAAACTGAACACCTGGTCCCAATCTGACCCCTCACACAAACAGTTCTTCATCTAGTCTTTCCCATTCATCTCTATCCATACAGACTTAGAAGCTAGAACCTAGAAGAGCTCTTGATCTCTCTCAAATTCTTCCATCCACCCCACTCCTGCCATTTCCAAATGCATTCACTTCTCTCCTTCTCCAAGGCCGCCACACTAGCCCTCATCCTTCTCACCTCTCTACTAACTGCCTTGCAAAATGGACTCTTGACTCCTCTTTGGCCTCAGTATAACCTATTCTTCACAAAACTACCAGAATCATCTTGTAAAATGCAGACCACATCATGTCATATGCTTGCATACTGTCTTCCAAAATCTTTAAACTACTCTTAGAAGAAAACCCAAACTATTACTTAAAGGTTGGTCCTTGCCTATCTTTTTCTTTAACCTCATGCTTTACCATCATCTCTTCTTACTTAGTGTTACTAAGCGTTTTTTACTTTATTTATAATGTGACAGCTCTTTTACATCTCTGGGTCTTCATACCTATGGTCCCCAATGCCTGGAATACTCTGGCCCTGGAATGAATCTCTGACTCATTCTTTAAGCCTCAATTTTAACTGTCACTTCTCCAAAAATGCCTTTCCTAACTCCCTAATCTAATTTAGGTCACTTCTAGTATTCTAGCTCATGGAAGCCTATTCTTTTCCCTTGCAATGCTGTAATAATTTGTAACTTTACATTTAGGTATGTATTTAATATTTGCCTCCCTCCTCTATACTCCTAGGGCAGGGAGATATCTGTTTTATTTACACAGACACAGTGTACACCCAGCATCTGGCACAGTGCCCACAACATGGTGAGTAAAGATGGACCCATGTATGCATGCTTGTACACAAGCACGCAAGCCTTTTGGTTTGTGAGATGTGAATCCTTCACCACTCCCAGGGAGAAGGCTCTTTAGAGTCCAAACAGACAGATTCATAACTTCTTCTTTCACACTTACTGAGTACCTACCAAGTACTGAGAACTGTTTTAAGTGCTGAGAAAATAGCAGTAAACAAATCAATCCTTCCTTTCCTGGAACTTACATTTTTATGGAGGAGGTCAGATAATAAAAAATATGGGTAATACTGGCTGGTGTGTCTCAGCTGGTTGGAGCATCATCCCATAAATCGAAAGGCTGCAGGTTCAATTCTCAGTCAGGGCACATACCTAGATTGTATGTTCAGTCCCTGGTAGGGATGTGTATGAAGGGCAACCAAACAATGTTTCTTGCATCAATGTTTCTCTTCCTCTCTCTTTTTCTCCCCTTCTCTTTAAAATCAATAAACACATCCTCAGATGAGGATTTAAAAAGATGGGTGAAAGAATCAGTGTGTTTCACCACGTTTCTAGCCCCCTCAGACATAATAATTAAGAGTAATGTTCTAAGAAGAGGTGTCTCCACCAGCCTCAGTACCAGGGTGAAGCCCATGATGGACAAGTAGCATTAACAAATAAACCCTTGCTACTGAAAGCCACTGAGAGATGAAGAGTTCTTTGTCACTTCAGCATATCCAACCTATCATGACTAATACAATAAAATTCATGGTATGTTAGATAATGAAAAGGTGCTACAAGGAAAAAAAACAAAAACAAAAAAATCAAGAAGAGGGTGGAGATAAAGTTTTAAGAATGATTCATAAAACGCATCCACCTTAAACTTAGGCCCTTAATTAAAGGCTCTAAGAACATCAAATCCAATGTAATTATCCCAAGCTTATGGAAGACAAACATTTTTTTGCTGTTACTACCTTCTCTCACTAAAATGGAAATTCTATTAAGGTAGTGAGTTTTGATTATCTTGTTAACTGCTGTATCCTCAACATTGAGTCATTTCGAGTTTTCATCATAACATTTGCCAATGTCCTCATTTTCCCCAACTCTCTTTAAACAGCCTCTTCTGATCTATCTGAATGATCCATTGTAAGTATTGCAACTTGGTCCTCATCTCCAGAACAAAATATGTATTTTAAAAATAACATCATTAAAACATTGAACAGGGGGGAGGGCAAGAATAGTAGGGGAAATATAGAATCTAAAGAACTTGTGACACATGGACATAAACTAAAGGGGGGGAATGGTGGGGAAGGGGGTGTGCAGGGTAGAGGAAAATGAAGGGGGGAAATGGGACAACTGTAATGGCATAATCAATAAAATATATTTAAAAAAATAAAAATAAAACTAGAGATAATTAAAAAACATCGAGATTGTGCATTTTTAACATTTAAAAGTGTTTAAAAATTATAACAAAAAGTTATATTTAACTAGTAAACATAATATCCTTTTGTACATTTAAAGCCTTAAAAATACCAACCTGAGCTGTTTCTGTCATTTTCTGTTCAAAATCAGCTTTTGCTAATGCATATTTTTCCACATACAGTTTATAGGTATCTGTAGCTTTCTTAGATTTAACAGCTGCCTGTAACAAAACAAAAATATTTTGAACTACAAAATGACCTTTCTTCTTTCTTGATATAAGTTAATATGAAATAACAATTTAATGCATTTAAGGGATGTGGACTACGCTAAGATCAATATGACAAAGTAATTTTAGTATCTTTTTTCGAGTCCTGTTTAGTAATAATATTTTTTGTTATAGTCACACAATTAAGCAGAAATCAACCCAACAGAATGTGTTTTGAAAAGTTAAATTCTCTCCTCATTCTATAACCCAAACTAAGATCATATAACCAGATTATGATACAGTATAACTAAAATTTCAATGAACAAAAATGTGACACCATCAAAATATGCCTGACACTACCTTCGACATGTGTAAGTCTTCCTCCCTCAGCAACATACATGTGGCTCCACTGAAAGTCTAATTCATAACTATAAAGCTAGCTCAAAAGTTGAAAACATCGGATTTCCTTGAGGTCTGTTTCCATTATGATCTAGCAAATCTATAAATTTCATTTGAATCACAACCTATTTTTTCAAGATTTTTATTTTTTAAAAATTGTTACTGCATTATTACAGTTGTAGTTCAAAGTTACTTGTTCAATAAAAACTTAGCATATTAAATATCAAGCAGTGAAGAAAATGAAGATAAACTAGTAGAAATCTTTTCCTCAATGACTTCATAAAAGATAATGAACTTCTACATGAACACCAAGAAACAGGTAGAAAGTTACAAAAACAGAAGTAAAGATATTCTGTGGAAGACAGACATTCAGGAAAAAGAAAAACTGGGTATAACTTATAAAGTGGCTAACATGAAACTTGACTATTCTCAGAGAACTGATCAATTTGGACAAGGAAATTTGAAGAGGGAGTGATGCTGAAGTAAGAGTTTAAAGAAGATTTTTTAAAAAGCTACAGGATTTCAAGATTACAAAGATCTTTGTTTTCTTGACGAAGTAAAAGATGAGTCTGCTAAGAGTAAAAAAGAGCAGGATAGGGTTGGGAGCTTCTGGAGAATGAAAAAAGTTTCAAAGCATGATTGTGGAGGATGCAACAGGTAAGAACTAGATGAGTAAAAATACTGCTAAGAGTCACGAAGGATTAAGCTGGAAAACATGGAATTTGTGTAAAGCCAATCAGAACCAATATATAATTATTTCTACCTTCGGTCTAAGAATAAGAATTAGAAAGTTGGGTTTACCTGGAAGTTTGTGATCTGCAAGAATGCACAGACTCCTCCTCTCTAAAAAGGTAACTACACTCATTCTAAAATATAAGTGCATATAGTATATCAAATATATGTGTTCTATGCTTTCCTGCCTTCTTCAATAAAGCATATATAATGCTGTTTTATCATGTAGTATAAAGAAAACTGGTTTTGGAGACCAAAGACACAGGATTTAATTTGGCTTTGTCCTTGCACTTTACATAGTTCTGTATTCCTAAAATGGGAACAATACCACCTGTTTTAGAGCTTTGGTGGTAATTAAATCACTCTAGGTAAAATGCTTGGGGCAGGGTCCAGCTTATAGTTTAACTCACAAAATAAAGGGTATCTGCTATTTTTATGGTTTCTAAAATGAATATAATCAGGAACATATACCATTTTGCTGTTACTGTACCTAAGAGTTTTACAGAGCTCTCTAGCCCTAAAGCAGGTGGCTATAATAACTTTCTAGTCTGCTCCTAAAATTTTTTCTTTTTACATTTTCCCCAATATCTGGCCATTTGACATTATTTTATACTACTGTTACTATACCTTCCTCTAACATCCTGGCCTTGTTCAAACACATAACAATGAAATCAGGTAAATATTTAAAGTTTACTATGTACCTTCATAGGAAACCCAGACAGTCAGGTTTACTAGAATTTAATTTTAAAACAATTTTAATGGCATGGTTATCAAGGTTTCCTTTTGGATTTTTTTAATGCCAAAAGACTTTGGTTTCTTCTTCCAGCTACCTAAATTTTCAGGCTGTACAACCTATAATCCATGGAGTGATTTTTAATGACACAGCCTAGCAAAATGATACAGTCCCACTGGTAGCTCCTTCTTTTCTTCAACACCTACTCTTTTTCTTTGCTATTAAGTTCCTGCCTAATAATTTGTGTGCCAGCTATTGATAAAGACATCAGTTGTGATCATTCATAGAGATACTGCAATTTGAAAGAAACCCATAAAAATGGAAAATCCCACCAAAATACAACTATAATGACTGTGTCAATACTTTAGAAGTAATTTATTTCACAGGATCTTTCCTATTTTCTTTTCACAAGTTTTGTTTTTACATCTGTACAAAATAAGGTAGCTCCCCTTTTAACCTACATTAAAACCTCTTTCTAACCACTTGTTCTGCACTATTCAATGTCTTGACTCCCCCAAAAGAAAGGTTCTCAAAAATGAGATGATATGTACTTAGTTTTCAATAACCTTGGTAACATCTAGCACATAACGTGACACACACATAGAAGTCAAACATTTATTCACTATTGCACACAAATGACTACTTCAAAATCTAACAATCAACCAGAAAAATATTTGAATAAACTATTGAGAAAAAGCAAGAATCTAGTCTACAGCCTATATTTAAAACAAACTTAATTTTTATTATATTTATTATATTTATAAAATTCAAATATTTTGCTATGATTTTTTCCAAGTAAACAGATTTGTTGTGTTGTGGACAGTACAATGATCACTTCTGATTCAAAGAAATTTATAATCCAATAGAAATAAAAGACAACTGCCCTGGCTGGTGTAGCTCAGTGGATTGAGCATGGGCCTGAGAACCAAAGGATCATGGTTCTATTCCCAGTCAAGGCATGTGCCTGGGTTGTAGGCCAGTTCCCAGCAGGGGATGCATGAGAGGCAACCATACATTGTTCTTTCTCTCCCTTGCTCCTTCCCTTCCCCTCTAAAGATAAATAAATAAAATCTTAAAAAAAAAGTTTAAAAAAATAATAAAAATAAATACATAAAAGATGACTGCCTGGAGGAATATTCTCCTTTGAGAACACCTATAATCTCTCTAGAGCAGGGGCATCAAACTCATTTTCACCAGGGCCCACATCAACCTCACAGTTGCCTTCAAAGGGCCAAAATAATTTTAGGACTGTATAAATATACTCCTTAACTGTTAAGAAGTTGAAATTATATTCAGCCCTTTGAAGGCAACTGTGAGGCTGATGTGACCCCAGTGAAAATGTTTGACACCCCTACTCTGGGATATAAAGTAATTATTTCACAACATTATTCATGATAATTAAAATTATAGGACTTGAAGCAATGGGAGGAAGTCCCTGAAGCATCACTTCCTCTTCTTCTACTCAAACAGTCTCTAGAATTCGAACTAGTTTTGATATTCGAATCTTTACTGAGTCAAGAGAAGTAGAAATATTAATTTTAAAATTTTATACCTGATCTTAGCAAAAAGGACAAGATGAAATTAATTTAAAAATTTAAACCAACATATTTTATAACTCCCCCCCACAACATTCTCATCATAATCTTGGTCTAGCCATTCAACCTAGCATACAAACTTGTTCACTATTTCTGACTGAAATTACTGTCTTCATCTTAGAGGGTAAGAGCCAGATTTAACCCAGAACTGTGAACAGGTAAGTCTTTTGGAACATACTTTTTGATAACAGGAAATGTAAATTTTATTTTTATCTTATTTGGAAGCATGAAGAAAAAGTTACCCTTTTTAAGTTTTAACTTACATTCTTTATATCAGCAGTCACTCTTCCAAGGTAAAAACATTCCAGAGTACTAAGGAAATTACATACCAATTTAAGCAACTTGGAAAACTGACAAAAGTAGTATTTGCTAATAGAAAAATAAAATTTTAAAAATGTTGTTGACTCATGAGTTTTAAATGATAAAAACATTTAAAGAAAACTAAGGCTACATGAAAGGAAGTAGAGGCAAATTTAGAAGGTAATTGTACTGGAAAAATCTGCATATTTTAAAATTGTATTTTATTGATTATGCTATTACAGTTGTCCTAATTTTTCCCCTTTGCCCCCTACCACTGAACACTCCCAAACCCCTTCAGGCAATCCCCACACCACTGTTCATGTCCATGGGTCATGCATTAAGTTCTTTGCATGAACTATGGACATGCTAAGTTCTATTTCCTATACTGTACTTTACATCCCCATGGCTATTCTGTAACTACCTATGTGTACTTCTTAATCCTCTCACCTCTTCACCATTCCCTCACACCCCCCTCTAATCTGGCAACCATAAAAATGCTCTCCATGTCCATGATTCTGTCTCTGTTCTTGTTTGCTTCGTTTGTTTTTTTAGATTCAATTGTTGATGGGTATGTATTTATTGCCATTTTACTGTTCATAGTTTTGATCTTTTTCTTAAATAAGTCCCCTTAACATATCATATAATGGTTTGGTGATGGTAAATTCTTTCAGTTTTTTCTTGTCTGGGAAGCTCTTCATCTGCCTTTTGATTATAAATGGTAGCTTTGCTGAGTAGAGCAATTTTGGCTGTAGGTCCCTGCTTTTCATGACTGAGTGTTTCTTGCCAGTCCCTTCTGGCCTGCAAAATTTCTTTTGCGAAATCAGCTGACAGTCTCATGGGAACTCCCTCCAGGTAACTAACTGCCTTTCTCTTGCTGCTTTTTAAGGCTCTCTCTTTATCTTTAACCTATAGTATTTTAATTCTGATGTCTCTTGGAAAGGGTCTCCTTGCATCCATCTTGTTTTAGACTCTGTGCTTCCTGGACCTGAATGTCTATTTCCTTCAACAAATTAGGGAAGTTTTCTTTCATTACTTTTTCACATAGATTTCTAATACCTTGCTCTTTCTCTTGTTCTGGTACCTGTATGATGTGAATGTTGACCTACTGAAGTTGTCCCACAGGATACTTACACCATCTTCACCTTTTTGGATTCTTTTTTCTTCTTGTTCTGATTGGTGGGTTTTTTTGTTGTTGTTGTATGTTCCAAATCACTGATTTGATTCTCAGCATCATCCACTCTACTGTTGTTTCCCTGTAAATTGTTCTTTATTTCAGTTAGTAAATCCTTCGTTTCTGACTGGATCTTTTTTATGCTGTTGAGGTCCTCTCTCATTTCCTTGAGCATCCTTATAATCAGTGTTTTGAACTCCACATCTGATAGATCACTTATATCCACTTCACTTAGCTCTTTTCTGGAGTTTTGATCCGTTCTTTCATTTGTTTCTTTGCCTCTTCAATTTGGTGGACTCCCTGTGTTTGTTTCTGTTTATTAGATACAGCTGCTTTGACTCCATCTTAGCGTGGCCTATGTAGAAAAGGCACCTGTAAATTGTGCGGGGCAGAGCCTTAGATAATTGGCAGGGCTGGACAACCCACTTCACCTCTTTATGGCTCTGTATGTGAGGTTAGGGGGTTCAGAGAGGGGACAATACTGCTGCCTAGCTTCTGGAGGCCTGCCTGGCATTCCACCTGCTTCCGGTCACGTCACCCGCCTCCCATGTGCAATTGGTGCCCTTACAGCTGTTGCTCTGGGTTTGTGTATGTTGTAAGACTATGCAGGCCCTTTAATTGGCAAAAATCCAGGAGTTTCTTCTGCCACCCCAAACCCCACTGGTTTTTACAGCTAGAGGTAATGGAGGTTTTTCTTCCCAGTGCTGGAACCCTGGGCTGTGCAGTGTGGCCTGAGGCTGGAATGGCTCACTCCCAAGGCATCCCTCCTGGTTTTTATCCACCACACATGAATGTGGGGCCCACCTTCGCCACTTCCACCTCTCTACCCTGTCTCCACAACTCCACCCCTTTTATCTGTCTGGATGACTATGTCTTCTTTAAATTCTTGGTTGTCTGGCTTCTATACATCTCAGTTTTCTGATGGTTCTCGGTGTTACTTGTTTTTGAGATCTTAATGGTAATTCTTTCCATAGTTGTGAAAGGAGGCAAAGTGTGTCTACCTATGCCTCCAACTTGACTGGAAATCTTAATGTTCTTTAATGTAAGTTTATATTGACTTATCTCTTTGAACCTCAACACAAATATTTTTGTTCATCTGTTTTATAAATTTAAATTTCATCTGGACTGAGTTCTCATTCCAACTGTTAAGTTTATTGGTGTCTTAGTATTAGATTTCTTAGCTATGCTCTAGAATTTTGGCTATTTGCCCATTTCAAAAGGGAGGTTTCTTTTTTCCCCCTTTCTCTCTCCATCAATACTGCTAGACAACTCCATAGAATACAATGTAAATGGTACCTCCTGGAACTGTGTTAGGCTCTACTCCTTATGCTCACCCGTTCTGATTTAGCAGTTTTCAGGTTATCTCCTGCCAGTCCTCTAAGGCCCCAGGTTAGTATCAGTCTTACAAAAGTAGTGTTTAATTACTTACCCAGAAAAATACTGGGGATATAACCAAAATAGTCATGAACTGGTTCCTTGGCTTGACTGATTCGCAGTCAGAATTATATCCCAACTTCTAATAAAGCTTTAGCCCTAATCAGCAACCCAAGAACCTTTTTCCTTCTCTACCTTTAGCTTTATACAGTAAGCAGGGTTCCTTGTGATTATCTTTTTTTTCCCCTTAGTTTTTTTTTCTTAAAACCTAAAACAGATGAAGTGTGTGTTAGAAAAAATACAGAAAAACTGTGGCTTCAGCTCAACCTGACAGTGTCAAAGAGTCCATCACTATCAGTCTTGAAATAATCCTGCTGTTCAGGCTAATTACCAAAAACAGTCCATTTCTCCCTTTTTTCCTTATTCCAGATCTGGGCCTGAAAGTGGTACTTGTGAAACAGTTCCCAAACCTGTCCCATCAATGGAAAGTATACTGCAGCAATAGGATGAAACAGACATCACCGCACCCAGGATTAGTGAGTCTAACCTCTTCCTAAAGTTGATTCACTGGACCAGGCTGTTCACAGCAGGAAAACCATTGGCCAGTGTTCACTCTGCTCTGAATCGATTTCAACATTCCTCTCGGTAAAGTCTTATTTTCTTTTGTTGCCATAGCAATGCTTATTGCCTATTCTACTACACGATCTGAGTTTCAAAGGTGCTCATATTCTTTTAAAAATAGTTCAGTTCTTCTGTTGTTCACTCCAGACCCACTTCTATATGACTCAGTATCCTTTTGTACTGATCCCATGAGGTCCTCCCTTTCCTGTATTTCCATAAAGTTTGCTTTGGTTTTATAGAATTCATGTGCATAGTCCTGCAGTATAAGTCTGTCACTGTAATGTATGTATCAGGGCTGCACTCAAGGAGGGAACACCCGCACTGTGGATAAATTCTGCCATTTTTTCACTTCCTCCTGTAAGCATTGCCAAAAGCTGTTCAACCTCAACTGCCATTTAAAAGGGGTGTTGTGTCAGGAGCTTTACCTGTTGTGTCTTCCAACTCAGCAATAGTTTCAGATCAAGCTCATTTTCCAGCTGTCCAAACTATTTCCTGAGATATTCCCAGTAATTGCTTGTCCTTGCTAATATCTTAAGTATGCAATATGCAGTCCATTGTACCACACAAAAGCCAAAATCCACTGCCTAACTAAGGACTTTGAGTCCTATAAGTCTGCACAGTCAACCTTTACATGCCAATTCAGGTTTCTGTTCTATTTCTGGTTTACAAAAGTAGCATTCTTTTTGGACCTTGTTATCTGTTGTTTTTCCTTTTTATATTTCATTCATAATTGCTATGTCTAGAATGGGAGGTGTTTTTAAACTGCAAACTTATGATGTGTCATTTCTCTCCCACTCCCAATTTTTATTTATTGTACCAAAATTAAAGGAAATATATTACACCGAATTTCATCAACTGCTTTGATTTCCCTATGTTCTCTTTTTGTTTCTGCCCTTGCATGCACGCTTTTATGATTATGATAATTGTAATATGGTTACAATTTGGTTTTCTTTTTTATTGGATAATTCAAATACTTTACAAAGTTTTCAAAATTATCACTCCCTACAGCTCATTCCCAAGAGAAACTATACCGCATCAAACAAATGAATGGTTAAGCTGTTTTGAAAGGGGGAAAAAACCTACTTTCAATTAAAACACAAGTGGGGAAAGGGTTGTGGTTTACCACAGTACTACATAAATGTGCTCAAAGTCAGCAATAAATTGACCACAACCTATATTTAAAGCTTATCTTCAACTATCTATACCTTTGTAAATACACCAAAGTCTTGCTTCGAAAATTTTTTACCTCATTATTAAATCTTATTCCAAGCAGTATCTCATCAACTATATTATAAATATATCCTGTAATGTGTTGCTGAAAAAAAGAAATCATTCCTGTTTATGTATATGCTAACTTACTTACCATATACAACATATTTTACAAACCTACTTCTGTTTCGCTCAGGTAAGTTACTAACACTCAGAGGGTACAGTGTAATTTCAAATATGAGATCATTTATGAGTGAAGATTAAGGCACTCTTGTATTCAACAGTGCTTTGAAACCATAGAGGAATATTTTATTATGATTACCTTTTCTATTTCTCTTTGTGTAGCTCCTTCCTTTTTCAAACGTTCTTGTTCTACACACTTGGCATTGTAATTTTCCTTGGATTTCTGGAGAGCCTGAGTTATGCTCTGAATGGATTGAACAGCTTCCAGAGTTCCTGCAACTTCTTCTTTCGTCTGTTTCATGTGAAATAATTCATCAAAAACAATAAAACTATAAGACACTCAATATTTGACCAATCAATCCTTTTACAAAAAGTGATACCTTTTTATGAGACTTTACTTGTTCTTCTCCATACTTCTGAACTTCCTTTATTAATTCTTGTAATTTTCTAACAAGATCCAAGTGACAATTAGCTAATTTCTCTGTAGATGTTTTGAACACATCCCACACTGGTGCAAATGTTCTAAGGGAAAGAAAACATGAAAACAATTTACTTATAAAAAAGTTTAAGACTCCAAAATAGAACCAGTAGAATTAATAGTTATATTCAGCCACTTTAATTAGGCAAAAGATAAAATTAAAATAAATTAAAAATTAAATGACTAGCCCTGGCTGGTGAGGCTCAGTGGATTGAGCATGGGCCTGTGAAGCAAAGGGTCACCAGTTCAATTCCCAGTTAGGGCACATGCCTGGGTTGTAGGCCAGATCCCCAGTAGGGGACACATGAGAGGAAACCGCACATTGATGTTTCTCTCCCCCTCTTTCTCCTTCCCTTCCCTCTGAAATAGGCTAACTACTTATCACATCTCTGGCCATGGCCTTCACTTAATTATATTATTTTCTGAGTTGATTTGGCTATTCAGACTTGTATGAGAAGCATTTCTAATCAGTGTCTTCATTCAAAATGCTTCATCAATAATAAAAGTTCCTTTCAATTTAAACATGTAAAAGTTAAAACTTGCACATGACTTTTTTAGTGCCTTCATCCTTAATAATTATACAGAATAATTTTAAAACTGTTATCTAAAACCTTTGGAGGCGTTATAATTTTATCTATCTGAGTATTTCAACAAACACTAAGAGAATCCCCCTTTCTGCTACACGGAATAGGATGCATGACATACTTTCCTACCACCTTTTCTCAATATTGACAATTTAATATTTTCAGCAGGTTCAATTACTTCCAAGAATTACCTGCTATACTATAACAGCTTTAGATAGTAAAAGATGCCAATGATTAATATAAACTAATTTGGTCAATAGAGGACAATCTAAGAATAATTTTACCCAATGCTTTCCTCAGGTACTTCCTAAAATATGTTCGACAGCACTTGCTTTGTTATGTGACAAAACTTCTAACAGAAAGCAAAACAAATAGCAGCAGTAATCACTAAGTCAGAAGGATAGAGAAACCACTTATCCTAATATGTTCTCTATGCCAATTATTGCATTTCCTACCCAGGAGGAAAGCTAACAATGCTCATTTTAAGCAATAGTAAATAATTCAAAAGAGGATTTTAAAAATACTTAGGATTGTCCTGATTAGATCTCACTTCACACTTTAAAATCTCTCATCAGCAGTAAATCTGGCACACAGTTAGATGGAAACTTTTGAAAGAAAAAGGACACCTAAAATGTATCCACTTGCTACAGCACTAAGTGATGTACAGACTTGTATCTCACTTCATGTAAACCTGATACATGATAGTCTAGACTTAACAAGGCAGATAAGACAGGAGTGTCCCTTTACTTTACCAAAGGATTCTTTACACTGAAAAGCGGTTCAACATAAAATTTCTTTAAAGATAGGTTTAAGGAATTTCAAATATCATTGCACTTACAAAAGTTTAATATATACAACTTTTTAATAGTCAAGTAATACACATGTATGTATAATAAATACATGTTTATTAAGAAAGAAAACAGACAAATCCAAAATATATTTAAATGCAACTAAATACAGAAAGATAAAATTCAAATTCTTGCCTAAATATGCAGCAGTAAACAAAAACCACTGATATTTAAAATCTTTGTGATCTTGAGATGACATTAACACACAAAAATAAAACATCACCTATTATATATGAAAACCACACATTCCAAAGACAGAAATGCTATCAGTAACTTTACTATCAGGAAACACAGCTAAAGTCAATTTGTGTTTTTTCTATCTCCCATTTGGTGATTAAAAATGGGTTAGAATTTCCTATAATACACCATGGCCAGCCCTGATTGGTGTGGCTCAGTTGGTTGGGCATCATCTTGGCAAAGCAAAGAAGGTCGCTGGTTGGATCCCTGGTCAGGGCACATGCTTGGGTTGCTGGCCTCGTGGGAGGCAATTGATTGATGTTACTCTCACACGTAGATGTTTTTCCCCCTCTTTCTCCCTCCCTTCCCCTCTCTAAAATCTTTAAAAATAAATAAAATCTCTCTAAAATCTTCTAAAATAAATAAAATCTTTTTATACTTACTTTCTGAGCCTTCCACTATGGTTAATAAAGAAGTTGTTATGTTTTAGAAGAGACATGTTTAAATAGAGGGTCCAGAAATAGAAGGGTACCAGAAAAGTGAGGCGAGAAATGAAAAAAACAATAATGAAGTTATATTGAGAGAGTAGAGGGGAAAGACCTGGAGGAGGACTGGGAGGAAAGAAACAAAAAGTAACTAAATACCAGTCCCTGCTCTCCTCATCAGAAAAAGATGATAGCTCCCCAAACTTCCCAGCCAGTGTACATGGTCACAAAAGGTTCTGTTAGCTGTGGCTGTCAGCACTTACACAATGGACAGTGTCATTACTCTGTGAATGAACTGAGAGTCCAATTCCTTTTTATCTAATCACAAAGCAGAGAGACTTCTATTTAAACTCACTCAACGACACTAGAGAATACTTTCATAAAGTCATTCTTAAACAGTTTTTGAATAAAAAAACCATGTCAATCTGATAGCTGGTATAGACCCTCTTTATCAGAAGTGAGTTATAATACACACACAAAACTTCACAAAATTGTAGGGGATTTATCAGAAACCCTTAAGAAAATGAATCTTTTACTAAATATCACTTTAAAAACCTTTATGTATTAGACAAATTATTTTCACATCTGAGCTAAAATATAACTTCTCCCTCAAATTTTAGATAATTAAATCAGATTAAGTATTCCTTCCATAGTTGTTATGGTTCAAATTATATAATTATTCTTCCCAGAGTTTTATGGCTATGAGCAAAACTCATTTTCAATATATTCTTATTAGTATTTATTTTCTGAAGAGTACATTTCTTCAACACAAATTCTTTAAAGATTTAATGATAGTCTATAAAAATCATGAAGCATTTTAAATGCATTTTAACATTTCAATATTTTGAGTTTTTAAAGATCATTGTTCTGCAGTACTGAAATTAACCTACAGAAAATTAGAGTAACATGCATTACACTTATTTATAATCTCCAAATTACACTACTAAATGACTTTGCTGTTTAATAAAGGGGAAAAAAATAAGTTTTACATGTTCTGACTGCATTAAGTGATTCAGCAAGTTGAATTACATTTTCAACCAAGAATACAGTCACAGATACATTTTAAATAAGTGTATTATATACTTAACATTTAGGAATTATTATTATCCTCAATAAAACCTAATATTCTGAAGAACTTTGCCTAAATCAACACTGAAAAAGAGTTCACCAAAGAAATGAACTCACCCAAGTTGTGAATAATTGCTTGCAGATTTTGCTAGTTTTGTCATTGACCTGGAGTACGCCTCTTCTATTGTAGCTCTGTTAAATAAAATGTCCATGTTATAGTATCTCTTGTTTAATAACCAAACACATAGGAAAGTTATGAAAATACAATTAAAATTGTAGAAACAAAAAGATAACTCCAATTACACGTTAAAAATAGGTAGGTATGGGCCCTGGCTGATGTAGCTCAGTGGATTGAGCGCAGGCCTGCAAACCAAAAGATTACGGCTCGATTCCCAGTCAGGGCACATGCCTGGGTTGCAGGCCAGTTCTCAGCAAGGGACACACGAGAGGCAACCATACATTGATATTTCTCTCCTTCTCTCCTTCCCTTCACCTCTAAAGATAAATAAATAAAATCTTAAAAAAAATAGGTAGGTATGTTGATCATGAATTTCTGGCCTATCTTTAGATGTCCTTTGTGCACATCCACTTAAAGAACTAGTCTGGTATAGAACTAAAATAATTTATATCACCAAAAAACTTAAATGAAGTCACCACTCTTTTTATCTTTAGTACCAAAGATTATTTAAACAGAAAACAAGAGTGCTATTTCTTGTATTCTTGCTCTCTATAAACTGATTCAGTGAAAAGTCATTTATTTTTAACACTTAGTATATATGATATAGCTTAATTGTTCTTCAACATTGTGATTTCATTATTACACACATTTAATAGAACAAGAGATTTGTAACAGTCTTTTGTATAATACTAAATATGAATTATTAGCAAGTCTGAATCTTGCTAGACTCTTGCTATTATTCTTAGCTATTAGATTCTTAGCTAATAGATTCTTGCTATTATTTTAGATCTAAAATAATAATAAACGTTTCACACTACAATACTATTTTTAATATATTTTATTAATTATGCCATTACAGTTGTTCTATTCCCCCCTTCATTCCCCTCCACCCTGCACACACCCTCCCCCACCACTCCCCCCTTTAGTTTATGACCACCTGTCTCAAGTTCTTTAGATTCTATATTTCCCCTACTATTCTTGCCCTCCCCCCTATCTATTTTCTAGCTACCATCTATGCTACTTATTTTCTGTACCTTCTCCCCCCTTCTCCCACTCCCCTGTTGCTAACCCTCCATGTGATCTTCATTTCTATGGTTCTGTTCCTGATCTAGCTGTCCTCTTAGTTTGCTTTTGCTTTAGGTGTGGTTCTTAATAACTATGAGTTTGCTGTCCTTTCACTGTTCATCTTTTTTATCTTCGTTTTCTTAGGTAAGTCCCTTTAACATTTCATATAATAAGGGCTTGGGGATGATGAACCCCTTTAACTTTATCTTATCCTGGAAGCACTTTATCTGCCCTTCCATTCTAAATGAAAGCTTTGCTGGATAGAGTAATCTTGGATGTAGGTCTTTGGATTTCATGACTTGGAATACTTCTTTCCAGCCCCTTCTTGCCTGTAAGGTCTCTTTTGAAAAATTTATTTAATTATTGTTCAAGTATAGTTTTGTGTTTTTTACTCCCATCCCAGCCCACCCCCCCCAATGCTCCCCACCTCCCTCCCATTTCTACCCCCCTTAGTTGTTGTACATGTGTCCTTTATACTAGTTTCTGTATATAATACTGTTTCTTATAAAACTACTATTTACCTTATAGGATTTCACGCTTTAAAAGAAATATCAACCAAAGTCATTAAGTATGGGATAAAAAAATTTTCCTGTAAACACATAACATACAAAAGATGAGGCTATCCTGGCCTTCTTCCCACTATAAAACTGAAGTTCTATCCTACCTCTCCTTCACTACCCTGTTGTTTCTCAATCTGTACTACCCTCAGCAGTGGAACAGTCCACAACCACCAATGCCCTTCCATTTACTTTGATAGGTTCAACAAACTTACTACTTTTAATATCCAAATCTGGATCTCCACATAGGCTCTTGGTTTGTTTGTTTAATATCTAAATGCCTCAAGCCCAACTCTACTTAGATATCTAATCACCTCCAAGTCAGATTATCTCCAAAACTGGAGCTATAAACTTAGCTAAACTAAGCTTATCTCCAAATTCTCCCCCCCCCCCAACCCCACACCTATAACCCACTCTCTAACAGAAAAAAACCATTAAGAGGATATGCCACTCAATTGCTGGCATTGTGACTTTTTTCTGCTCCTTTAAATTTTTTTGTCTTTTTAGTATACTACATTACAAAGACAGTACTGGATAATCTAGAAAGTTAATATGGAAATATTAATATCTCAATGGATAAGTTTTAATGGCAAGAAAAAAAGGGATTAATTTCCAGTAATAGTGATCTGACAGAAAAACCTCCCAACGAGGAAAACTAGAAAAAGGGCGGGGGGGGGTGACTAAAAGGCATCTGAGAACTAAAGAGGCAGCTAAGAATCAGTAGGCCAAGATCCTAGAGAAGAATGTCCAGAGAAGTGAGTCAGATATGTAGGGCACCTTTTCCCTTGGGGGCATGGAGAAGAGGCAGCTAAGACTGAGAAGTGGAGCAGAGCTTTTCAAAGCCACGCAGGATAAGGAAGACAAAATTATAGATTCAGACCTGCCGAAGGTTTTTGGAAGCATTGGAAATTCCATGCTCTTTAAAGTTGAAACTCCAAGGGTAAGGATGAACAATAAATAGGCAAACCTTCAAAGGGACTGCAACCCATCTCTTCAAATCGTGATACTGTATTCTACATGGATGCATTATATACATTCATACAGCCACCAGGCACATGAAGAGACGAGACACGATGAACAAAAACCAACAGGAACAAATGAGCAATGTTCCAAAAGCTGAGATTATAAAACCTAGACCTTAGGAGTTTATGTATTATGTTCAAGGAGATGATACATTAAATCAAGAATTTAAGAGAACTAGAAATCATTTTTTAAAAGTGGAGGGCAATACAGGAAATGATAAAAAAAATACAAATTCTATATCTGAAAAACACAAAAGTTAGTATCTCAATGGATGAGGTTTACCAGCAGACTGAATACACTGCAGTGAGAATTAGTAAAGTAGAAAAGAGGTGGGAAGAATCTCCTGGAATAAAGCTCAGAGAGACTAAGCATGGAAAAGAGAAGTGAAATAAAGGACTAAGGACAAAGCAAAAAAATCTAACGTATGTAAAAACAAAACAAGTGGGTCAGAAAAACTAAGAGAGACAAAAATGGAGTATTTTCCAAAATTGACAAAAGATATCAAACTAGAGATCCAAGTAGCCCAACAAACCTTAAGAGGATAAATAACAAGATATCTACACCTAGTCATACCATAGTAAATCTGCTGAAAATCAAAGACATTAACACAAACTGCAAAACTATAAAACTCTTAGAAAATAACTCAGGGGAAAACCTAGCTGATGCTGGGTATAGTGATGTCTTTTTAGATACAATGCCAAAGAGCCAACCTACAAAACAAATGATTCTTAAGCTAGACTTCATTAAAATGTAAATTTCTACTCTGTGAAAGAAAATGAGAAGATAAGTCAATGACTGAGAGAAGCTATTTGCAAAAGACACACCTGGAAAAAGAACTGTTACCCCAAATATACAAAGAATTCTGAAAACAATAAGAAAAGAGCTTAATACTCCCCTGTTCAAAGAAGGAAATCTTACCTTTTGTGACAACATGAGTGGACCTGGAAATTATTACGGTAAGTGAAATTATTAAGCCAGTCAAACACAGAAAGACAAATACCATATGATTTCACTTATATGTGGAATCTAATGAACAAAATATACTTGACGAACAAAACAGAAACAGAGGCATGGATACATGGAACACACTGATAGATGTGGGGGGGGGGGAAGAGATGGGGTAACAGGATGAAAGAAGGGGATGGGATTAGCTAAAGAATATATATGCACTACCCACAAACACACACACCAGTGTGGTGATGGTTAGAGGAAGAGGGGGCCAGGGCTGAGTGGAGGTGGACAAAGTGAGAGGGAGGAAGGGGACATCTGTAATAATGTCAACAATAAAAATAAAGTTAAAAAATAAAAATATTTTTAAAAACAGACTAATTAAAAAAAAGTGAACCAAAGACCTTAACAGACACCTCTCCAAAAATGATAAATGGATGGCAAAGCAGCATACAAAAAGATGTTCCACATCGTATGCCATCAGGAAAATGCAAATTAAAATAATGAGATACCACTATATACTTATTAAAATGGCTAAAGTTTGAAACCCTGACAACACCAAATACTGGCAAGGATGTGGAACAAAAAGAACTCTCATTCATTACTGGCGGGCATTCAAAATGATACAGCCACCATGGAGGGTAGTTTGGCAGTTTCTTACAATACTAAACATACACTTAACCCAAGCAATAGTGTTCCTTGGTATCTACCCAAAGGAGCTGAAAACTTATGTCCACACAACAACCTACACATGGATGTTTACAGCAGCTTTATCCACAACTGTCAAAACTTAGAAACAACCAAGATGTCCTTCATTAGGTGAATGAATAAACTGTGGTAAATTCACACAATATGAGCTTTTCTAAGCCAGAAAGGAAATGGAAGAACTTTACATACATATTACTAAGTAAAAAAAGCCAATCTAAAAAACCTATTACATACTGCATGATTCCAACTATATGATATTCTGGAAAAGGCAAAACTATGGAAACAATAAAATAGGGCACAGAGGATTCTTAGCACAGTCAAAATACTCTGCATGACACAATGACAGACAGATGTCATCCCATATTTGTCCAACCAGTAGAACACCCAATACTAAGAGTGAACCCCAAGGGAAACTCTGGTCTTTGGATAATTATGACATGTCAATAAAGGTTCATCCTTGGTTAAAAAAATACCATTCTGGTTTGTGCTGCTGATAATGGAGGAGGCTATGCATGCATGGGGGTGGGAGCATACAGGAAATCTCTGTATCTTCCTCTCAATTTTGTTGCAAACATAAAAGTACTGTAAAAAATAGTGTTAGTGTTTTTTTTTAATCTACCAACCGAAATTCTATACCCAGCAAAAATATAAATGAATGTAAACCCCTAATGAAATAATGCATTTAGGTGATGATCATCAATGGCTATTATCAC